GAACCTGCTGTAACATTTGCCTGATTCCCTCACTGATTATTGAGTTAAATAAAATCTTTAGCATGTGTTCATTTTATATCTGAATGACAGTTGTCATTTTACCTTTTTTTGGAAAATTATCTTTAATACACAAATGGCAAGCATTTTCCTTTTCCCTCCTCTTCAGTCATCTGCTACTTGTGCTCTTTGCTTTAGTTGAAAACTCGGAGGGTTTCCTCAGAAAAGAGCCGCTGCTCTTATAAACTTCTACCATCTGCATAACGTCTAACCAAGCATTCCTGGAATAATAGTGGAATGACCAAAAGATGTTACATTTTTCAAGGCAAAAGTGAGGTCAGGGCATTGGTTCCTAACCTTCTACAAAAACTAAAACAAAAGGACATAAACTTTAAATTAAATAAAAACACCATATTTTTATTGGGCTCTAACTCTGAAATATCTTATTTACTTATTTCCTCCTTATCTGTGTTGTTGATGGATTTATTAAAAATTATACACATTAGGATTGTTTTACTTTTAATGCATTTTATGCCATCTTGTACCTTATTCAAGATGTTATGGAAAATATAAGGTCCCTGTCATCTTCCTGAGTACACAGATTCATCTAAGAACTAATGTTATTCACTCAACAATTACTTATTAAGCAGCAACTGTGTGCCATGTATAATAGCAAAGACATCGTCCCAGGGGGCTGACAGACTAGAGAGAGGAAGAGACAACACAAATAAATATATAATTTCAAAGTTTGAGACCCACAGATGAAATGCATGTTTTCCATTCTTCCCCTCACTCTCACAGCTTTATCCCCAAATTTTTGGTTGGGTACCTAGCTACACTTCCCAGCTTCCTTTGCAGTTACCTATGGTCACGTGACTGTCTTCTGGCCAACAAGATGTGAGCAGAAGTGATGTCTCCAACTTGTTGGTCTCACTCTTAAAGAAATGAGGAGAGCCCTTACCAATCCCTAATTTTCTTTCCTTCCTATGGGCTGAAATGTCAACACAGTGTTGACATTTTGGACCTTGTAGATGAGGGCAGCATCTGAAGAGTGACAGAACAACAACATAGAAGGAGCCTGGACTTCCAAGAACTTCAGAGAGTGGAGCCACCAAATGGGCTTGGACTTTTCCAAGAGAGAAATAACTTTCTATCATGCTTAAGATACTGTTGTGTTGGGTCACTGGCTCATCCAGCCCATCTTATAACCTAACTCTGACAAGTCTCAAAGGAACAGGGGATACTCTGAATATGGAAGTTAACAGAACATTCCTATGTGGGGCTCAGGAGCAAGCATTCTCCAAATGAGGGAGCATCAAGGGAAGTGAGATCTTCAGGGAAGAGGCAGGTCAGGCCACGAGGCACAAGATGAAACCACAAAGACTGATGAGCATATCAGCATGTTTCTCCTGGTGTCAAAAGCATGTCAGAGGCAGCTTGAAGGGACTCCCACTGGCCAAATTTGGGAAATTCTAAGTATCAAAAAAATTAATAAGTTATAACACATTATTAGAGAAAAATTGTCTATCAAGTTAAAATAATAGTTTGACTCCGTTTTTGACATCTGACTGCTGACATCTTTCAAGCCCCATCACTCCCCTTCCCCTTCTGTCCCACGTCCGCGCAAGCTGATAAGAAAGCCCAGGTACGCCCTTGACAATGGCAGGAAGTTCACACCATGCAAGTTCTAGTCCACACATAAGAACCTTCACCCCAGTCCTATTCCCAAATTACAATAAAACCCCAAAGCTAGTCACCTCTTCCTGCTTTCTCAAGCCATTTTCAAACCAACCTGGGAAACTGTTCTGCTCTCACCAGAAATCCTCATTATGTGAGCAACAAACATACCCCATTGGTGCATTTTTGACATCGTCAGTCTTGACATTGGAACCAAATTGGGGGTCGGGTGTACAAACTGCTTCTGCAGGATGATCACAAAAGATGGAAGGGAAAGTTCTTCACTATAGAAGAATGCCAATAAATCAATAAATATAGAAAGATTGATAGAGTTAGAAACTACACCTCTGCAACCTCCATTGTAATAATTCATTCAGGCAAGAAAGGTTAAAAAGGAACATACAGTCTCAAAGTTATTAAATACAAATGGGAGGGGTTTCCTTTAAAATGGAGAAGATGATGGACACCACCTTATCCAAGTGATCAAATGTAACATCACCAATAATGGGACAAACTGACATCTGTGCCTCCTGATAGAACATACAAAGAAGGATATAACATCACCTATTTTAATATTCCTGCCAAAAGTATTAAACTAGAATTTAATCATAAGGAAATGATCAGACAAATTCAAATTGAGTAAGTAAGTATTCAGTGGGGAGAGTCATATGTCTGGAACTTACACTCCAATGTTTCATCAAAAAAAGTTTATAGCTATATAGAGAAAGATAAAACAAATGTGGCAAAATACAATGTTTATCAAGGTAAAGATACAAAATAAAGCAAATGAAACAAAAAGGTAAGCTGGTATGAGGGTTTGTTTACTCAAAAAGAAGGTTCCAGAGGCCCAGAGGGAAGGTCTGAGAGAGAAAGGACCATCCTGTGTCTGCTTGTTCACAGAACTCTTCTCTAGCCATAGTTGTTCCGGGTTCAGAACAGGGTTTTGTGCAAATAAATATTTGCAGAAGGTCCCAGGATTTGGCCCCACCTTCTCCACTCTGGGAAGAAAGCTGTTGGAGTTCACAGGAGTGCTTCTGTGGGATGGGGGTTGGTGTCTGAGCAGATAGGCCTGGTGACCCCACCCACCTCGGTTTCCTCCTATCTCACTCCTCACTTCTTAGTCCTCTTGCTTTTTGGCTCTAAATGTTAGTTTTCCCTGGACCTCTATTCTAACTCCGTCTCTCCTTAAAAGAATAACATAGCTGTTGAGGATATGACAAAAACTAGTTAGACCCTACTAGGCCCAAGATGGCAGAAGATTCAACTTCCAGTAGACCTTGAGTCTCATTATATGCTTACTGTAATATGTTAGCATATGCTAAATGACACACCCACAGGCGCCATGACAGTCCTGAGACCAACCATAAAAGGCCAAAAAGTGGGCAGCGGCCCAACTCCTGGAAATCCCCACCTCTTCCCCCCAAATAGTTCAAATAATCCTCCCACTCGTTAGCCTATGAAATTACCCAGCCCATAAAAACGAACCGCCCATATTTCGGGGCTGCTCTCTCCTTCTGAGATGGACTACATTCTGCCTATGGAATAAACCTGCTTTCACTTTACCATGGCTTGCTCTTGAATTCTTTCCTGCACGAAGCCAAGGATCCTTACTTGGTGGCCTGTCCCAGGAACTCGCCTGAGACCTGGGACATGACCATCCTCTCCCATTTTCCTGCAACATCTTTATACAAAGGATGAGGAAGAAGGTAGTCCTCTCTCCCTCCCTACTTTTGCTTTGATTATAAATATGTAGCCCACTTAGTTCTCGAGGCAGACCCCTCTTGCCTGCTCGCCTGTATCCTTCACAAGCATCCTATATTAACAAATCTACATCTTACCTCCCGCTTTGCCTCTCGCTGAATTCCTCCTGTGCCGAGACATAAAGAACCTGAGCTTCATTAAGTCGTGGGACGAGTCGTGTGGTTTCAACACATCCAAAACGGAACTCTCCAAGTTTCCCCAAACCTGGTTCTCTCCAGTCTTCCCATCTCAGTAAAGGGTACCTCCATCCACCCATCCTTTAAGTTATTCCTCCAAACTTCAACCCAGATCTGTCCACTTCTCACCATCAACTCAGCCACCATCACCCCTCACCTGGATTTCTTCAGTAGCTTCCTAACTCATCTCTTGACTGTGTTCTCAGGCCCAAGCAGTCCATCTTCCTCACAGAAGCCAGAGTAATCTTTATTTTTTAAAAACGTAAATCAGAGCAAGCCACTCAGTGTTTCAAAACACTTCAATATTTCCCTGTTGCTCTTTGAAAATGAAGATTCTTCACCATGAAGACCCTGCACCATCTGCTGCTCCACTTCTCAGCCTCATCTCATGCCCCCTCACTCTGCTCGCAGTGACATTCTCTTTTTTTTTTTTCATTTAAAAACTTTTGGAGCATAGTTGATTGCAGTGATCTTCTTGTACAGCTCTCTGCGTAAGTCAGGGTTTCTTTCTTTCTGGAACATTCTCTCAGCTCTCCTCAAGGCTGCCTCCTTCTCTTCTAGGACTCAACTCAAATGTCCCCTTCCCAGATCTATATAAAGAAATCTGCTTCGTCAAAATTTAGACGTCAAATCGTCTTCTCTGTTTCTTGCCAGTTCTCCTTTTCCACACACAGTAGAATGGACGCACGGTACAAGGAGAGTTCATTGCTGGATCTCCCGCGCCTGCTAGGCTAGGGGCTCACACATATTCGTTGAAAGAATTCATTAATAGACGGCAATTTTGTATGTTTTTAAATATCCTTCCTAGGCAAAAGAAAAGGCTAACAATTCTGTGTGGTTCATCATTTTTTTAAAAAACATTTATGAGTCCAGGACTCTTGGATGAACTGGCCTCAAGTTCCCCACAACATAGTTGTTGTAAGGATAGCAGGAGAGGGAGGAAGAGACGGACAGTGGCTGGGGGGCCGGCTGGGTGGCTGAGTGGACGGATGGGTGAGAGAGCGGATGGGTGAACACTCTGGGGAAGCATACCCAAGGTGCTAAGTTGAGAGCACAGTTCCCTAGGCAGCCCATCTTGAGGGGTCGCGAAGCGGATACTTCAGGGCCGACGGGGCACGGCGGGAGGGCGGGAGTCCCCTCCTCTGTGTGTAAAGCAGCAAGGCCCTCCAGGCTCGCACCGCCTCCAGGCGCACGCGCGCCCAGACCCCGCGCCGCGCTCAGCAGCGTCTCCTGCCGGCGCGCGCGCTCAAGTGAACGCTCTCCAGGCCCGCAGCAGGGTTAGTGCGCGTGCGCGCAGGTGAGCGTCCCGTCCCGCCCCGCCCTGCCCCGCCCCCGGGCTTGGCCACCTGCCGGGGAAACTTGTGGATTGTTGCCCTCGGGTCGCTCAGGGGCGGGACGCGGAACAGAGGCATGGAACAACATACGTCGGGGAATCGCGAGTCCCGGGCCCGGCCGAGAGAGCGGGACCCAGACCGGCACCCCCGCCCGGACCGAGAACGCCACCCCGAGAGACAGCGGGACAGAGCCGGGGACCGGCGCAGGGAGAGAAACGGGGGCGGGCGGAAGGACGAGGACCGGGATAGGGGGAGGGACCGGGAACTCCGCCAGGACAGACACAGGGCCGGGGACCATCGTGGCGGTGAACAAAGAGTTTGGGAACAATCCCGCCAGAGTCGGACGCGGGACGGACCCCGGCGGCCGACCTGGGACGCGGCCCCGCCCCTCTGGCCCGCGCCTTGGGAAACCGCGGAGCCACCGCCCCTGCGGAAGGAGGGCCTCGGACGCCGAGGACCAGAAAGGTGAGGTGGGGCAGCGAGGGCCCTCTACCTCGCCCCGGAGGAAGCCTGGGTCTGAGGCCAGTCTGCGCGGTTCTGCTGTCCCGGCTACTTGTCCTGGGAAGCTGGTTTAAAGGAAGTGTCATTCTTCCCTTTTGAGCTCTTAGAGGTGACCTGCGAGGGAAGGAAGACCTTACAGTGCCCCCCCCCCACACACACACACACTCCTTGACCTGAACCTGATGAACAACGCAGAGACCTACCCCCCACCTCCCTCCACCCTCCACCCGCCCTGCCCCCCACCCCCCCTTTAGCAGTGGAAGGACCGGGGACCAGGTAAAGAGGAAGAGAGGACTTCAGGACTAGAAAGGGAAGAGGTGGGAAGGAGATTGGGTGGGTTGGGTTAATCTGAGGCCCCTCTCTGACCCCCACCCATGTGGTCACAGGACTGCCCCTTGGGGCTTCAGACCCTTGTCCTGTGCTCCACAACCAGCCCTCCCCAAAGTCCCGTTCCCTGGAGGCCCGGGCCTAATAAAAGACCAATGAAAAGCTAATAGTTTAATGTGTAATCCCTTCCAGGGGTATATGCATTTCAAAACCAGACAGCTGGGAGAAGATACACTTTTAGCCAAAGAACTGAATGTACCTAAAACTCTGCACAAAAGGGCAGAGATTTTTTCTCCCCCTTTGTCAGTGAGGTCTTTCTGGGCAGCCTCCTTCAAATCCCATGATTGTGTCAGACCCCACCCTCCTGAATGAACAAACTTTGCCATCACTACCTTGTAGAACAGAGTTCCCATAAGCCCTGTGGGGTGAAAGCATCATGACGTTCTGGAAGACTGTGAGCTGGAAGAGGGTAAGGATGGAAGGAAAGAGAGGTGGTGGTCCTAGACCCCACTCCCCCTCTAGGGAAGTGGTCTTTTTTCCATTGCACATTCCATCCAACTCCACAAATATTACTGAATGCCCATATTAGATGCCAGGCCAAGAAGGAGACAGGCAGGTACTGGAGTGATGACTGCCTTCCGGTTTTTGCCCTCGTCCCTAGGAGGAGTCCAGGCTCCTCTCTGCTATGGAACTTGGAGGCTTAAGCCCAGTCTCTCTTCTGGTTGTGTCCACACAGCGGGAAAGCTATTATCCTGAGTTTATGTTACATTATCTAGAACTAACTAGCCAAACTGTGACAAAGGGTGTGCCCAGTTACAGTCACAGGCACTGGCTACTGTCTCCCTGCCTAAAGCCACACTGCATTGCAACTGCCAGGCCTGGGAGAATCCAGAGCTTCATGTTTAGGTTTCCTTCTAAACTGGTGTCCTGGCCCCCCTGTCCCCACCCCTGCCAAGCCCCAAAGCTAGTGAAGGGAATACTTTGCTTCTTTTGCTCACAGTTAGTGGTTTAAAACCAAGAGCAATTTATTTCTGTCTCTCCTCCACATAATAAGCATGTATTTAATGGATGGGAGGTAGGGCCAGGAACTACAGAGATCTACTCACGGTGTCCACAGGACACTGACAAGTAAACAGACCAATTTGCAGCACCTGTGAAACGTGCCACTCCAGCGGCGGGACAGACACAAAGAGAACAGAACTGGGGCCCTGACTGGGCTCTGGAATGTTTGGAGGAGATAGCCTCAAAGCTGAGTTCTGGAGAAGGAGCAAGAGGCTGTCTCAAGCAGAGAAGTAGTTTCCACGGTGACCTGGAGGCATGGGAATGCAGGTCTTTTGGGGCGGGGAGAGGGGCAGTTCACTATGGCTGGGTCTGTGAACATGAGGTTGTGAGTGGAGAGAGATGAGCACAGGCCCTCCCTTGCTGTGCTTAAAGTTTCGACTTTATGGATTTCAAATGCAAAAAATACATGGTGAGATCTATGTTCTAGAAGGATCCCTGGAGCCCAGCTTGTAGAATGCAGCCCCCACCGTTCACCACTGAATCTTGGACAAAGCCCAGGATGTGCTGGATAAAGTGATAAGGAAGGGTATGGGGGGGGCGGGTGGTGAGGAGAAGGAACAGAATATTCCAGGGCTGGCAGAGGAAGAGGGAGAGATGTGAAGATGTCCAAAGTTGTCTGTACCACCCATAGCCTAGAGAATGATTGTGGATTCAACTCTTTCCAAAGTAACAAGGGAAGGAAGAGAATGCCAGCCTGGGCATCAGTCTTGTGAATGCAAACTAGTTTTGAAGAGGGCCTAGTCCTCACTGAACTGAAAAGCTCCCCCAGGTGGCTCCCAGCTACCTGTTAGATATCCCCCGCAACACACACACACCCTCCCCCGCAGGCCAAGCCAGCATGGGAGGCAGGGCTCAGAATTACTGAGATAAGTGACGTGCTTAATTAGCAGAACTGGGCCAAGTGTTTGCAGGCCTTGTATAGCCAATAAACCAGAAAATCCTCTGGAATATGAAATCTGTGGCAGATTTTCTGTTCTGTGCATTCTTTAATGTGGACACCAGCGTGAGGTGTCCAGAATTCTAATGCTGAACAAGCTATTGAATTTGAAGCCCGCTAATGGCCACACATGTGTTTGATTATAGTGAGCCCACTTCAGGGAGATATCCGCTTTCGACCCTCAGGCCTGGAGTACAGGAAGTGGAATATTACCAGTCAGAGGCTGAAGGGCTCCTGGAATGCCACAAGTGCAGATACCTGTGCACCGCGAGAGGTGAGCCATTTTGAAGGCAGTTTGACCAATTACTTACCGTTGCTGGTGGTTCTGGATGGGGTCCGAGATGATGGAGCAAAAATTCAAGCCGACTTCCCTTTTGGTTTCCTCGTATTTTCGTTTTCATACCTGCGTGAAGTTCACACTTTCTAAAGAAGGGTAGGAACATCTGAAAGGGGCGGCTAGGTTTCCCGTGTTTCTCCTCGGACGGGCCCGGATGTGGTGAGGCAGTCGTGCCTGCAGTTTTCAGAGCCAGCTCTGAGTTGCCGGCTGTCAGAGGCGGACCCCTCTGGCAAGGCAGGCCGAGTTAAAGAGAGATCACCGGAGATGGCAGCCAGGTTGAGCTCATGCCACAGGACAGGAGATCTGATGCCTAAACCTGCCATCATGGCTTTTAAATGTTGTTGACTGAGACCCACAGTAAGAAATAGGTTTCACATTAAGAACAAGTTCACATGTGCGCGCATGTGCACACACACGTCATGAAACAACACACCATCACCTACGAAGGGCAGTAACTTCTATTTCATTGAAAACAAACAAAAACAAAAAACCACACTTATTAGAATCCACAGTATGAAGAACACTTAAATAATATCATGTGTCAGCTCCAAATGTGGTTTCCCAGAGTTCCCATCCTAGCACCAGGCCTGGCCTTGCCAACAATGAAGAAAATCTGGTTTGTCAGGGTGAAGAAAATCTTACCCTTATGGCTCACATGATTGGGTAAGAAATTTTCCTCAGCTACCTATGACTAAGAGGGGAAAACTTCTTGGCCTAAGGGGGAGAAATCATGGAACTTATACCTGAAGATGTCTCTTTTTTATTTATTTATTTTTGGCTGCATTGGGTCTTCATTGCTGCATGCGGGCTTTCTCTAGTTGCGGCGAGCGGGGGCTACTCTTCACTGTGGTGTGTGGGCTTCTCATTGCGGTAGCTTCTCTTGTTATGGAGCACAGGCTTTAGGTGTGCAGGCTTCAGTAGTGGCACATGGGCTCAGTAGTTGTGGCTTGCGGGCTCTAGGGCATAGGCTCAGTAGTTGTGGCACACGGGCTTAGTTGCTCCGTGGCATGTGGGATCTTCCCGGACCAGAGCTCGAACCCGTGTCCCCTGCATTGGCAGGGGGATTCTTAACCACTGTGCCACCAGGGAAGCCCCTGAAGATGTCTCTTAGAGTGATTACAATGAGATAAATTATTATGGGATTATGTAGAACTTTCATGGAAGAGCTCTAGGCAATCCAGGTACAAGAATCCTCACTCTAGTTTACGTATGTTGGCACACCCCGTTGCTTTTAATTCTCTCAACAACTCCTGAGGCTCAGAGAGGTACAGTAAGTTATACAAAGTCACACAGCAGTTAAGTGGAAGAGCTGGAATTGAAAGTTAGAGCCTGACTCTAAGGCCTGAAGTGGTTTACGTGCTTGACCTTCTTTTCTCGATGATATAAAGAATAGGAACAAGCCAGACGCTCTTTAACAGGTTTCTCTCTAGAGGTATTCTTCTTCAGCGATTGATTTACCAAGAGGAGAGGGCAGAGCTTGAAGCCCCTGATTTAGCTTTGATTGCTTCTGGCTGTTTGGTTGGGCCTAGATGTTGGGTTTCTGAGTCAAGATAGTGAAAGGATAGTTCAGCAGTCAGAAGCTAACAAATGAGGGCTTATAAAGATCTCTGGACACGCAGGGACCCACATAAATACACAATGCTGTGTTGTGTTGAGAGCAACAGCCATTCAACACTGGGAATTTGTCTCAAACAGGAAATTCACACCTGGGTAAAGGTCACCTGAAGATTTTCAGGCTCGTCTTAGAGTAGATCTTTTGTGATTTCTTTTCCTCATCAGTGAAATCATGTCCTCCTCCAGCAAACTGGCAAAAATGGGAGGCAGCTGTGGCTCTCTCTAACTTCCTAGGGAGACCCTGCAGTTTGGGCTGAGTCACCCTTAGGAAGTTCAGTGGAACACTGACAAAAATAGATAAGCCCCGAATTCACGGTTACGGGCAAGACTCCTCAGCTACTAAAATCTTTAAAGGCTGAGGATAAAGATCAGATAAACAGCAAGTACAGACGTCACGTGTGCATATCAGATCACTAGGAATCCTGTCATATATAGGTTGTGTTATAGGTTTATTATTTGGAGGGACTGGTGAGGAATTACAAGTTCCCTGGGGAGAAGGTACATGGCCTGCTCCCCTCCTGGCTCCCTCCGATGATTTGCATTTGGAGCAGCTTCCCCTTTCCCTTTTGTCCTTTTCCTCTTTCTTTAGACCTTTGGTGCTCAAATCATGATGGAGAAGATTGTAAAAGGAGAGCTAGGCCAGTGTAACAAGGAAATTGTGAAGAAAAAAAAAAGGGTGATGTTTGCATTCAGCTTCATGCAAGGGCTTGATGTTTCCCTTACTTGCAAACCATCCTTAAAAATTTAATTTCATTCTCTCTCCAAACGTTGTAATCTCTATAGTCAGTGGTGCTGTCTCTCACTCAGAGCCTGGAGGTTTAGGTTTTGAGATGGCTTCTCACTGCCAGTGGCATTGACTTGTGACCACACTGAAAAGGTTCAGAGGGACAGTGGTGGGGGTTTTGCCCCCCAACTTGCATTCTCCCTCCCCCTTTTATATGCTTATTTAATACCCTAACTCAGTGCTTATGGGACTGAGCCTATGTCAGCACGTACAACTCCCAGCTCAGAAGTACCCAGCTTTATATTATGCTGAGAGAAAGAAGTAACACACATAAGAGTACATTAACTGTATGATTCCATTTGCATGAAATTCGAGAAAGACAAACCTAGTTCCTAATGACAGAGAGCAGATCAGTGGTGGCCTGAGGAGGAAGGTGAGGGGTTGACCCCAAGGGGTGACTAGGGAACTTTCTGGGGGGATGAAAACAGTCTATATCTTGATTATGATTACATGGCATACACAGTTGTCAAAACTTACTAAGCTGTTTGCTTAACGTGGGTCATTTTGTTGTGTATAAGTTATATAACAGTAAAGCTGACTTTAAGGAAAGTAGCCAGCTTTGGTGGAAGATCTGGGGCTCTTTCATCGTCCAAGATAAAGCAGCCAAGGGTCCTGAAAAAATCCAGCCCTGGGAAAATATCACAGCCCAGATTTGCTCTTTAGGGAAACGAAAAGAAAACAAAATTAAACTTTAAAACATACTTATTGAATTAAAGTCTAAGAACAGTAAAACCAATTATGTTTCTCTAATTCAGTAAGCCTTATAGGTTTAATTAACTTAACCTTTCCTATTCCTAATATATGTGAACCACGGTTAACATTGTGATGGATAACTTCCATGCTTTTTTTCTAACGTCATTATATTTTTTAAGCACTATAAGTTCCTTCAAATTTGGAGAAATTTCCTCTTTCAAACTGAAGATGGCCACAAAACATGTCTAAAGAGGATATAACTATTTTTCAGTCTTCTTGGCAGGGAAGGGCTAGGGCAGAGAATGTTCTTGCCTTCCATAAAGGACACCTTTCTTTCTGCTCACTGGCCTGATTTCTGCCCCCATCGTCCTGCAGCCCACCTGGAGCAGGCTGCTTTGCTCTTTTGAGAGTTACCCTTTTCAGTCCAAAGTACCTCTGACATCATTTCTGGAGACCACAGTTCCCTGCTACCATCTAATGCTAATCATGTAGCTTTGGCTGCTCAGGCCTTGCAGGGGGCAGAATAAAGAGCTGGCTGTGGTGTGAGCTGCCACGGGGAAGATAAGCCTCAAGGTGAAAGTCTCCAAGTGCAAAGTAGCATCTCTCAAAATGGTAACACGCCCTTCTTTTGCAGCCTGCTGCCAAATGCTGGAGGTTCTCCTGAACTTGCTGATCCTGGCCTGCAGCTCTGTGTCTTACAGTTCCACAGGGGGCTACACGGGCATCACCAGCCTGGGGGGCATTTACTACTACCAGTACGGAGGGGCTTACAGTGGTTTCGATGGTGCTGACGGGGAGAAAGCGCAGCAGCTGGACGTCCAGTTCTACCAGCTAAAGCTGCCCATGGTCACCGTGGCAATGGCCTGCAGCGGAGCCCTCATGGCCTTCTGCTGCCTCCTCATCGCCATGGGCGTCCTGCGGGTCCCGTGGCATTGCCCCCTATGGCTGGTGATTGAAGCCTTGTTGGATGTGCTCATTGCTGTGGCATACATCCCAGCCTTGTACTTCTACTTCCACTACCTCTCGGCTGCCTACGCCTCTCCCGTGTGTAAGGAGAGGGAGGCGCTGTACCAGAGGAAAGGATACAGTGGCTTCAGCTGCAGTTTCCATGGGGGAGACATAGGTGCTGGAATCTTTGCTGCCCTGGGCATCGGGGTCTTTGCCCTGGGGGCCGTGCTGGCCATAAGGGGTTACCGAAAGGTTAGGAAGCTGAAAGAGAAGCCTGCGGAAATGCTGGAGTTTTAGGCTTTTTAAAACGTTCCGGGGCTTCCCTGGTGGCGCAGTGGTTGAGAGTCTGCCTGCCGATGCAGGGGACGCGGGTTCGTGCCCCGGTCCGGGAAGATCCCACATGCCGCAGAGCCATGGCCGCTGAGCCTGCGCGTCCGGAGCCTGTGCTCCGCAACGAGAGAGGCCACAACAGTGAGAGGCCCATGTACTGCAAAAAAAATTAAAAAGTTCCGAAAAACTCAAGTGATGGAAGTTACTCTGAACCACTGTCTTTCGTGGAATATTTTGTTGCAGAACTTGCCAACACTTGGAAAGTAACAGACCAATTTTAGTTTGCTGGGCCTAGCTCCAAGGTACATAGAACAGCACTGCCTGATGTAATAAACCCTGGTCCTGGAGCCCTCTGTTGGCAAGGGACCAACCAAAATTACTTTAAAAAACAAAAACAAAACAACAACAAAAACAACCAAAACTAGAGCCCAAGACCCACAAGGAAAAGGCATATGCTGCAGCAAAATGCACTTCTTGAGTGAATAAAGGGAGATAACCAAGTGAATTTGAAGAACCTTATCCTCAAAGTTCACGAAAAGCCACACAGACATGAAAAAACATTTCGGCCTGAAGTTCTCTCATAACAGCGGTCTTAAGCAGATTAGCCTCGAATTTTTTCCTCACTGAACTCTAGGCCCTTCACTTCCTTAATGCTCTGGATGGCAGGGGATGGGGATGCCTGGGAAACTGCTGCTGTAAGATGGAAGCTGGAGGGAGACGTGGGCTGAGGAAAGAGCAATCAGATTAATTCACTGGGTTGCAAAGGAGGTATTCTAACAAGCCCCTTACAATGGGCTTGAAAGCTCAATAAGTGTTTTGTACCTCTTGTAAATGTACCATTGTACGACGAATTCAACCCGACATCTGGAATTCAGGATCCATCCAAAATTAAAGAAAGTAAAATCTTTCCCAGGATAAGTATGCTACTTTTGGCCAGACAACTTCATGGGTTCTTACTGCATGTTAAATTAGGACTTATGGCCCATTATAATATATTCTTGGTACAAGTGAATATGTTCTTTGCTTTACGTGACTCCAATAAAAATCCAAAGAAAAATTTTAATTTGGAGGTGATGGTTCTCTTTACAATATGTTTATAATATTATTTTCTTTTCACATTTAAAAGATGAGTTCCATTTGGGTTTACAAAAGGAAATACATATAGTTGCTTGTATATGATTAGAAAACTTCTTGAAGAATATATAAGAATGTATTAACAGTATTTGCTTCTGGAGAGGAAATTAAAAATTTTTTTTCATTTTATGTAAGACTTGACTGCACATGTCTTAGCCTTATTTTAGAAAAACATGTTTTAATTTGATTTGCTTTCCTCAGTTTTTTCACATTTACAGTGAAAAGGCAGATAGTAGATGTTTAGTTAAGCAGAATATTAAATGATCAGCCACAAAAGCAGCCTCACCCCAAAAGATGCTATTTTACAACAAAAATCTCCTGTCTGTTTCAGTTTCCACTTCCCTCTACAGTTTATCCCTCCATAGGGATAAACCGCTAGCTCTAGTAGGCCACTCTTTTCTTTTCTCCTGATGTCTGTGAATCTTTCTGCACTAACAACATGCTTGGAAATACTTGAACCTGCTCGATGTTTTCAGCAAAGCCAGGTCAGGCCTGGCTGGTGCTCTGATAATATCCAGTGGCCATATTTCTTCATCATTGGCCCCAGCAACAGACCATTATTCCTCTTGATTGTTGCAGTCAGTGGAGTGGTTGACAAGATCTATCAATAGATATATTACATTTCAGCCTGGCAGATATGGGCTGCGTGGACTATGCTGCTGCTGTTTTGGCAGAATCTTGTCCCAGAAGGAAACATTCAGGTTGCCCACATCTTGTAGTAGCACAGTATCCCTGCTTCCCTTCAGGGGGTGAGAGATTAACTGCATGCAGAAGGAAAACCAAGGCAGAGAAAAGGTGTTGGGTGGGGGAGATAGCTACTCCCCGTGAATTAGAATGATGTCTGGGTCAATTAATTTGCGCTGCTTGTAGGGAGAGAGTAGCCAGTAGCTTATGGTGCCTGGGAGGAGAGTGGGCAGTTCTGGTCTGATGTTATTTTCAGATTTAAATTAGAGGAATGTAGCTTCTCAACTGTCAGAGCCCGTAACTGCTGCATTCCGTGGACCTCCTAGGAATTTGTGTGGGCCCAGCAGGAGATGGAATCAGCAAGCTCAGTAGCTGTTGCCTAAGTACATTAGACACACTCGTCTTTAGCTGCCCAGTTTATAAACGTTGTGGTACCCCCTTGTGTATCAGAGGGTTTTCCTGACTTCTGGGAAACCATGCTTTTCATAAATTTGTCCCTTTTCTTCTTTTTTTTAAAAATATTTATTTATTAATTTTGGCTGCACCGGGTCTTAATTGCAGCATGAGGGATCTAGTTCCCCAACCAGGGATTGAACGCCAGGCCCCCTGCATTGGGAGCGTGGAGTTTTCCCCACTGGACACCAAGGAAGTCCCTGTCCCTTTTTTTCTTAAATCTCTTATTAATCCCCTTTATTTTATTTTTTTTGGCCGCATTGGGTCTTCCTTGCTGCGCACGGGCTTTCTCTAGTTGTGGCGAGCAGGGGCTACTCTTCATTTCAGTGCCCAGGCTTCTCATTGGGATGGCTACTTTTGTTGCGGAGCACAGGCTCTAGGTGCCTGGGCTTCATTAGTTGCAGCACGTGGGCTTAGTAGTTGTGGCATGCGGGCTCTAGAGCACAGGCTCAGTAGTTGTGGCTCACGGGCTTAGTTGCTCTGCGGCATGTGGGATCTTCCTGGACCAGGGATCAAACCCATGTCCCCTGCATTGGCACGTGGATTCTTGACCACTGCGCCACCAGGGAAGTCCCCTCTCCTTCCATTTTATATATGTTACTGGGTAGCATCACTGTCCACTTGTATAACATTTTATAATTTTCCAGGTATTTTCACATACTTGCTTTCATTTGGGCCTCATCCCAGCCCTGTGGGATAAGACAGGGAGGCGTTACCTTCATTTGTCAGGTGAAGTGTCTGAGGCTTAGAGTCAGTGACTTGGGCACAGTCACAAGGCAGTAAAGAGCGGGGATGCGAGCCTGGCATTCCCACTCTAGGTTCATATGCTTTTCTCTTCATTCTCATCTCTGACCCCTGAGAGAACAACAGGAGACCTTCTCCCAGGAAGACGCCTAACGAGAGGCTGGGGCCCCTGTCAGTGACAAATGAAAGGTGACTTTGGACAAGTCGACATTCATCTCCATTCACCTCTTGGCTTCCACTGCCTCATGGCATTTGCGGGTTCCTTAAACTTCTAAGAACCCCCCCAAGTGAACAGGCCAAGTATCCAGCAGTAGGATCCTGGCTGAATAGACTGGTCCACCCACACAGCGGGCTTGGAGGCCACATAACAGAGCATGTGGACACTGTAGGAGCTGATCTGAAAACATCTCCAGGAAGAGTAAAGCACGATGCAGAGCAGAGCGTGTGGTGTCCTCCGTGTGACACAAGCAGGGAAAGGGGGGATGAAATTCAGATTTGAGTGCTTTTACTTGCATAAACGAACGCTGGAAAGTTATATCAGAAAATAATGAAAGTGGTTGGGGGTAGAGAACAGGGTGGACAGGGACATGGGTGATTTTTCTCAGTTTATGCCCTTTTATGTCATTTTGATTTTTTTTAAACTTTACAATTTGAAATAATTATAGATTCACAAAACGTTGCTAATATAGAACAGAGATCCTGTGTATCCTTAACCTGGTTTTCCCCAGTGGTGACTATAGTACAAAATCACAACCAGGAAATTGACACTCTCCAGAGCTTAGTTAGACTTTACCAGTATTACACGCACTCACGTCTGTGTGAGTGTAGGTCTGTGCGGTTTTATCACCTGTGTAGATTCATGTGACCACTGCCACAATCAGCTACAGAACTGTTCCATCACTGAACTTCCCCACGCTCCCCACTTATAGTCACACCCATCCCCCTCCCGCTCCCCCAATCCCACTCCTCCCTGACAACCACTAATCTGTTCTCATTTTGAGACTGTTATGTAAATGGAATCATACAGTATGTAACCTTTTGAGACTGGCTTTTTTCACTCATCATGAATCCCTTGAGATCCATCCGAGCTGTTCCGAGTATCAGCTGCTCATACCTTTTCATTGCTGAGTAGAGTTTCCCCTGGGGATGGCTGTACCAGATTGTTGAACCATTCGCCCATTGGAGGGCATTAGGGTTTACTGTGACATCTGTGTACATGTTTTTGTGTAGACCGAAGTTTTCATTTCTTTAGGATGAATGCTCGGGGGTACAGTTGCAAGGTCACATGGTAAATGTATGTATAGTTTTTAAAGTAACGGCCAAAAGTTTTTCCACAGTGGCATTTTGATTTTCAAACATGAGTATTAAAAAACAAAAACCAAGGATGTTAATGTTGAGTCTGACCATGTCCTCACAATCAGGTGGTATTTCTCTTGCCTGACCTAGAGAGCTTTCCTGGGTAAGTGACGTCAGTGTTAAATTCCCAATCTCTCTCCTCCTAGGTGTGATACAGATAGTGGAGGTGATATTGAATGGGATGGTTCTCATGTGTATCGTGGCCTCCTACTTTGTCCTTGCTGGATTCAGTGCCAGCTTTGCCAGCGGCGGTGGCTTTGGGAACGGCTATTACTCACCGTTTGAGGGCACTGAGCTGGAGCAGGTTCGGCAGCTGGACCAGCAGTACACGATCCTCCGGGCGCCCCTGATATACAGCGGCGTGGCTGTTTCTCTGGGGCTGGGTGTCCTCACCTTGGGTGTTTTACTCCAAGGAGCCAAGAGTCTAAACAAACTGCCGGGGAAGTGGCTCCTCTTTGAGGCCGCCTTCAGCCTCCTCGCGGCATTGGGCTACTGCGTAGGCATCGGCCTTTACCTCCATGAGGCCTTGCGGATCAATGCCACAGACACCTGCAGGACAAGAGAGAGGGTCTATGCCCGCAGGGGTCTCACCTGGATGAACTGCCAGCTGGCAGGCACTGATGGAGCAGCAGCCACCTTTGCTTGTCTTCTGGTGGTGATGTATGGCGCCAGCGTGGTGCTGGCCCTGCGGAGCTACCGAGAACAGAAGCACTACAAGGACAGCCAAGAACAGCACAGCAATTATAATGACGCACCAGAATACCTGTGGTCTGGGATACTCTGAGATCTACTACTGGAACCTAAAAGTCAACCCAGCTTCCTTATTTCTCTCAAAAACCACATTACATAAATGTGGTTTTCATGTACTTGATTTTATAAATGTTCCCTTTGGCACCAGTGCAAAGCTAGATGATCATCCCATTTTTCTATCAATGTCTTTGTTGGCTGAGAGCTAGAAAAAAATACCTCCACCTTCGCTACAAAGATCAACATTGGAAGTTTGCATATACGCTTATGGTTTGACTCTCTTACCAAATGGTAAGGTAATAATACTAAGTAGCCAGAGAAATTCTGAAAGATGAGAACAACACATCAGGGGTAGCAGGCCCAGTGTTACAGTGGAAATAGCTTGCCTGACCAAACTAAAGTCACTAAGAAAAACATGCCGTTTCCCCCTGTATTTGATCCCAGGGGAATGATTATAAAGCATTTGTGTGGTTAGATTCCAAATGAGTAATTACATTCTGGCTCTCTCCTGGAAGAAAACTCTCCTGCCCATTCGACAGTATACCATGACTGCATGGGTCCCAGAGGTTGGATCCCTGAAACCTGAAGACAGGTAGGTGCTTTTAGCATGCATGTTCCTCCTCGGGATTCCTGGGGTAGGGCTCAGATAAAATGGTTTTTGCCACCTTTCCAAGCTAGTTGCTTTCTTGTTTCAAGTCACTTGATTGGAATTCACTTTCCTGAAATATTTTATAATTTCCTGAAATATGACGCCTCCAAATAGTGAGAAATAAAATTCATAAACTTCTTAAACGTGTTATTCAGCTGAGTACAAAGATAAAGCAGTTGATTTTACTAGACTATACAGGCATTTTGGAGCCTTCTTTGTTTCTGCATCCCTTCCAGCGCCCTACAGAGTAGGCCTTCAAAGGTCGATTGTAATCTCTCACAATTCTGAATTGTTTCCATAATGTAACAGATCATTAACACTGAATCTCAAAAATAAAGTTCTTTCAGTAATTTTAACCTAAAGTTTTATAGCTGTGCTTATACTTTACAATTAGTCTCAGATATTCCGTTCATGTAAGATGCAACTAGAAATATACATGTTCTTATTATAAAGGGTAGTTTTTCTAGTTGCCATCTTTTTTAATAACATTGTTTTATTTTCATATTATAAATGAGACTAAACTACTAATAAGTTCAAACCAAATTTTTAGTACACTTCTAAAAACAGCAATTTTGACAGAAATCTCAGACTGTCTATACAGTTAGTAAGAAATCAGCAAACGTAAGCCCGTTTCAATGTATGCCAAAGTGGCTATTAAAAAAATTCAGTCAATGTCATTTTCCTCTGATGTGTGTTGGCCATTTTTACCCCTGCATGTTTGCTGACTCTTTTCTCTGGAATATATTACCTTTCCTCTCTCCTCTTAAATCCTTCCTATTGCTAGTTCTTATAGAACCTATCCAAGGTGAAGGATCAAAACTAAACCTCAAACAGAAATGAGAAAATATCTAGATTCTACTTTTACAAAAAGTAAAGCTTGGAGGAAAACAACAACTAGAAGTCTACACTGCTAGCTTAAAATACAAACACCAGTGCCACAGAAAGCCGCTTCTGCTCACCACCTTAGCCCGAGGCAGTGGCTGGAGTCCCGCAGAGTTTTCACTGAGTGGTAAGACAAGTCTAACAGCAGCAAAAATCAAACAACCCATTTCCCACCCGAACCCCCCCAAAAAAACTTCCCAACACACACTATTCTCACCTAGGATTTATTCCCTGAAACATACCCTGAGTAGAGCTTTGCCCGTGTCTGGGTCCGGGGCTTGGAAAAATGAGGACTTTGGCCACTGCGACCCCTGTGTGGTGCACTGGTCCAGCTCAGCTCCTCTCAAATCACTGTAGCGACATTCAAAATGCCTTAGCAAAACTTGCCTTAGTTACTACCACTTGGCAGGTTGGCAGGTCAAGATTTCTTACTCACATTTTACAGATGAAATGAAGGTTCAAGAAGGCTAAGTGGCTCGCCCAATGGTTGACATTTCATTGACTGCTCACTGTGTCGGGTCCAGTACTGAGCTAAGGAAGCATTTGTTGACATCATCTCATTTTAGCTCACAGCTGTTGAGAGAGAGACTATTATCTCCATTTAACAATCGAGAAAAAAACACCTGCCTTGGAGAGGTGACCTTAACTAAAGTCAAATCTTTTTAAGTAGCAGAGGAAAAACTCAGACCCAGTGAATCACACACGGGAACGTGTTCTGAGTGACTAACGTGCTCTTGTGGTGCGCGATGTACCAGGGAGACAATATCACACGAAGGAGAGAACACACTCAGAGAAGTTCACTTCTGCCACCCTGTAGGCAGGTGTGCGTGTCATGGAACCGAGGTATGAAAGTAGATGGTGGCATTGAGCCCAGCACATTGGAGGTGCTCAAGGAACAGTTGGTGAACCAAGTTTTCAAAATTTCATTCTGCTAAACGAGGAGGACACCTGCAAAATGATTTCAACTGGGCCTTTATTTGGAGTGAGAGGTAGCTAATCTTGCTTGGAAGTCCAGAGATTATGGGAGACAACCAATGGGGAGAGAGGAGGGGAACAATTTAGAGGCTTAGCTAGATTAGACGTACTGTGTGAGCCAAAACTCACCACTGTCTTAAATTCTAACACCAAAGCCATTAGGACAGACAAGGTGGCCAGATTACCCACCTAGTTCCTCTGTATCACTGGTAGTTCTGTGGTTTGTTTAAGAGGAGCTGTAGGTTATTTACAAATTAAGTTCCCTCTAGTCAGCTAATAACCTGCATGGAAATAAGGACCATGCTTCCTGTCTTTGGGATTTCTTTAAACATATAAACCAAGTTAGAATATAATATTTCTTAATGTAAAAAATCTTTATTGCTATTTCAGCTTAAATGGTGATCAAAAATATTTATTCTTGCCTTAACTCATAGCTTCATAGAGTGTTATGGAATGTGGTTTCATTTGTTATCTTCCCCTACAACAAGAAAAAGCAGAAAAATCCTAAAGGTGCTTTTGGTTAAGAAACTAATTTCACATACAAGTTAGAGAAAATTACAGTTTCATGCTAAAATAAAGTACTTATAAAATAACAGGTACTCCATTTTAAAACAAAGCCATGAAAAAGATTCCATTTTATTTTATTTATTATTATTGTTATTGTTATTTATTATTTTTTTTTTTTACAAACAATAGATTTGCTGCAACATGCTCTGGCTCATATTATTGAATTAAAAAATTTAACACATTTCAAAAATATCAAAAATACACTATAATGAGTCTTAGGACTACAATATGACAATGATTGCACAAAACCATAAGATATGAACTCACTGTCTGGATGACATCCACTGGCAACAGTGAGAGAAAACCCTACAGCTTCTGAGAGATGTGTGTGAAATTTCGAAGGAGCTTATGTGTGATTGAATGATCATCAAATGAGGGAAACAGAGCAGGATTTACTGTAGCTGCTTTTCTCAACCCAGGAAGTGCTTACCCAACTATGGGGCAAAAGTCACTAACTGGAGAGAAAGATTAACTTGCCATTGGGGGAGTCTGAAAGTCCTCACCCAGGGGGAAGTGAAAAGTGACACAAGACAGTTCTATAGTGATGCTGAGGACATCACTGAATGGCTTGGAGACTATTTAATAGTTGGTACATTTATCAATAACAGCCAAGTGCTCCCTTATGGAGGTCTCTTCATTAGTAATTATTGAGTAGATAGAGAAGGCGAGCCTGTGGCTTCCAAGTACCTGCTTTTGCTGAAAGCCTACATGGAAAGGAGGGCATCATTTGATATTCGGTAGATCAGCCAAACCTCACTGGCTCCATCTCCTAGAAAATAGCACCCAATGATCACCAAGCTGCTTGTGTTGGCTCTTCTATACACCAGGAAAATGAATTCATCAACTTATTGCACACATACACTCTACAGTAGTATAATAAAGCCCTCTCTTGTAATGAGGAGTGGTAATTCAATGACTCTATGGTAGCACGGTAGATGTATGACATACTAGCATTCAAATTTTCAAATGTATTTTCAATCCATTTGGATAAAAATAAAAATACCATGGCTGCCAAGACTTGTGTATTTTTCTTTCTTCCATGGGACTCCTGGACTGCTCCCATTAAGCAGGAGTGATGTTCTTTCAGAAATTCTCTTAAACGTCTTTATTAAATGGGAGGTACTCACAAGGACCTGAGAATCATGCAGAGGCTGGGATCTCTGGGCTAGAGATCAACGGGCCTCTGCCCACCTGGGGAACACATCTCTGGGTGAAGTCCTGGGAAGTAGATTACATTCACCTGGAGACAGATTACTGGCTTTCACCACCTGACAACCTAATCAGATCACACAATAACTGTAAATGACTTCATAGGTCAAAAGAGTTCTGTGTATTTTTGGTGACGGGCTATGGCCTTTTCATCCCCTGTTTTAACAAAGAGCAATTATAGAGGGAAATGAATCAAAGGAAGTTACAAAAAAGAGTAGTCAGTTTTGGTGTAGCCTATATTAAAGGTTTTCATACAACCTAACATTTCCTGAACATAAATCTACCACATAAAAGAACATCTGGAACTTTAGGGTCCTTCTGACTAAAAAGTAAATACATTTACTTTTAGTAAAGTCATTTCATAACTGGGTTTTGTGGTGGTTCCAATTAGTAGGGTGGGAAGCTAAGACAAGAAAAGGTTCACAGATAAAGGATAATTTTTAAAAGACTATACTATTGAAGTGGTATATTCCCAAAATAATTTCCAACACTGTCTTCTTGGGTTTTTTCCGTCATTTTCATTCCCCCCCCCCTAATTTTTCTATTAAAAAATAAGGCGGCAACATACTACTGTTCCCATCTTTCTTACAGCACCTGAACTTTGCATGAACCACTATGTTTCCCACTTCAAATCAAGACCTGAGTTCTAAAATTTTGCAGTAGCTAACCAGTAGTTTGACACAGAAAAGCTGTGTTCCTGGTAATTTGGGGACTCATTCAGATCCTTGATGGGTTGAACACTAGACAGCCATTGGTATGGAACCCCCCCAAGAGTGTACCCCACTGACACACGCACATGGGTACGGGGCCTCTGAGAAGATGAGGATACATAACCATTTGTGGAGTGGTCATCTGGTTTTCTACCACTGCTTTAACAAAACTTCCCTCCGCCCAAAAAAAAAAGACAAATATATGTCTAGATTAACCTTATCTTTAACATTTTGTTTCTCATGAAACAAATTAAAAATGGTTCCACTCTATTTTCTTTTTAATTGTGAAAGTATTTAAAAATTCAAAGCACATTCCCCATTGGGTAACATTAAGCAATGTCAAAACTTCGCAGGAATAAAGAGGAATTAATTTTCCTAAGTAAATCTTCTAAAAGAAAAGGCAACAGAACAGAATTATGGAAGGAACTGCATTTTGCAAGGGTTACATGGAATGTGCAAAAAAAATCAGTAAACCAGGTTTTCTGTAAGCTTAGGATTTTCTCAATTAAGTCTTTCAGAAATTGAGCCCAATACTGTGAAACCATGTGAGATGGATAAGCATTTTCAGAAGAAGACTCTGTTAAACATTAAGAGGTGAACCCTCAACTCACTCCTGATGTTTTAGAAAACCATCTCTCTGCTCTAGAGTAAGAGAAGGAACCTGCCTAACCCGGAAGCTCCATCCATCCATCTGTGCTCGTTCGGCCTCAGTCTGTTCAGAGTCATCTATAACTCAAGGTTACTTGCATGTAAGCAGCAGCAGCCTTGGCCCTACGTGCTAGGAGGCTGACTGCCACCTCCATCACATGTTATGGAAAGAGGCCAATCCCCAAATGCCTCTCTTGTGACCTGCTGGGAGGTTCCTAGCAGGTGTCACATTTGTCAAGGAGTTATTCTTTTTGTGATTTGGGGGGAAGTAGTCTTAGTCCTCACTCCTTCCCTATCTTCATCCGCAAGAGAAGGTCCTACTCCCCTGTGTCTCAGGAACGTTCACAGCCTGACATCCAACAGTTAAATCAATTTCCCAGGGCCCCTCCTAGAACCTCCTAGAACCCTCACAGCCGGCGCCAACACCCGACGATCATCCTGCCTGTGGAGAAAGGCGCTGGGCTGCCTCTAAGAAGACTGGCTCGAGTGCAGATTCAAAAATAAAAAGTTCACAGTCAATGAAAAGTGCTCTCACTACATCACATACATAAATGATCTGTTTGATTGGTTCTACATTTCCAATAAACATCATTTTGATAGGCTGTATTCTCGTAGAGAAGAAGGAAAAGCCATGTGACTAGTCACGTTGCATCCCGTCAGGTTGAGATATAAGGTGATTTCTCTGTCACAGAGATCCAACAGCAGCAATCAGTAAAGGGAGTCAATCTTCAGTTATTTCCTCCACAGAAATAGTCCCTTCCCTGCCCAGGCAGGCAAATTCTCAAAATCATCCTAGGAGAGAAAGGGTTAATGGCAGGTGGTAGGACTGGTACAGGGCAATGCCTGCCTGCTCCCCAGTAGCCCTGGGGATCCCAATGCAGGTTAAATGTGAAACTGAACACTGATGGTGTTTACTAGCTTATCCAGAGCAAGACCCTGACAGCTCTCACCATGTCTGGCTCCGAGTTCTACCCCCCTCTCATCTGTGGTTTAGAAATGCAGAGGCAGAGTGCCCCTGGTAGGGTGCCCTACCCCACACCTCACAGCCTTCCCAGCGCCATGGCCCCCAGGGGAGTACTACAGCGCCGTGTCAAACTCCTCTGCGAGCTCGGTCCGACCCTCTTCGCTGGAATCAGGCTCAGGCCTGCTTTCCTGGTGGTGTTTCATTTGTTCCTTCACTTCTTCTTCGAGGTCACGAGGTACAACGAACTGGTCCTCCGGCTCCAGCTGAGCGGGGGCAGCAAAATAGCCAGTTTTCTTCCTGGGTGCTTCTGTGGCCACTTCGATGAGGTTCAGACTATCTTCCAGGGGCACAATCGAGCCATTGGAGAGCTTCTTTCCGTAGAGACAGGAAGTGGAGGGAGACTTCTGTAACTCCGTCTTGTCTTTGTTCACTGGCAGAAGAATGCCACTATTCACACTGTTCTGTCTTCGGATCCCAAAAACTAACCCTCTAGCACGTTCCTCGAGGCACGGGATAGGAAAATTCTCTCTAAGAGTGAGAGAGTTCTCAAGCTGCCTGCCCCTACAGCAGTGGATATCTACTTCTACTTCCACCTTGCTGCCATTTGTCATGACCCCTTCAACGGGCTGGTCGTCATCACTGTCCAGGCCGTTGTCGGACTGGTTACTGGAGAAAGTCGCACAGGACGGCTGGCGCTGAAACACCCCTGATGTGGGCGTTGGGTGGAGGCTGCAGCGCCTCTCTGGCCTTGAAAGCAAGGCAGCATCCAGGCCAACAGTGTTATGCTCGTCAGAGGCAGTGGATCCCACCTCACTGCTCACCTCTGAAGTGGACATCTCGCTGCTGAACTCAGAGGCAATACCACTACTGGAGGAAGGAGTGGTTGGCTTGGGCGGGTCCTTGATGGTGGCGGTTGAAGCAAATCCCACAGGACCTGGGAGGGTGAGCCCATTCATTTCACAAGTGCAGCCTTCCTCGCCAACGTTCAAATAAACCACCATCGCACCCACATTGTCCTGACAACCATAGCTCTGCGCTAATGTGCACAGCTTCTTGGCAGCCGCTAATGGGTCTTGTACATGGCATACTGCGTTGACTGCTTCTGTGTATGACAAGTGTTCCCACAATGCTTTGTTTCCCAGAATCAGCAACTCATCCTGAATGGTAAGTGGAGTGGAAGATATGTGGGGCTTGGGGAGGATCCAAGGGTAGAGGTATGTACAGCCCAGCAGCCGGGTACAGCAGGTTACCCCATTCACTTTGTTGTCCTAGAGACAAGCAGAATGCAAACTCTGAGAAACAAGCAACAATGACACCGAATTTTATATCTCTCTAGATCACAATGCTTAGGGCTCTACAATAAAACAGAATTGACATGTTATGTGGTTTTTCCTAGGATCTGTGTAATTTTA